AGGGATCGCTGGGATCGCACGCCGTGTGGAGCGAGGACTTCTTGTTCAGGATTCCCCCAGAGATCAGTCTGGAGGACGCTGCTCCCTTGATGTGCGGCGGGGCAACTGTGTTCAACGCCCTCCAATTCCACGGAGTTAAGAGCACGGATCGTGTTGGAGTGATCGGCATCGGCGGGCTTGGACATCTTGCAATTCAATTTGCTGCTGCAATGGGATGCCAGGTTGTCGTCTTCTCTGGCACAGAAAGCAAGAAGGACGAGGCCGTGAGACTTGGGGCCAAAGAATTCTGTGCGACCAAAGGACAGAAGGAGTTGAAGATTTCAAAGCCCGTCGACCACCTGCTCGTCACGACCGCCTCGCAACCGAATTGGAATATGTACCTCCCCATTATGGCACCCTCGGGCACAATTTATCCTCTCACGGTCAGCTCAGAAGACCTGAAGATGCCGTACATGGACATAATCATGAGCGGTCTGAGGGTGCAGGGCAGCCTGGTGGCTGCCAGGGAAATCCACCGGCAAATGCTCGATTTTGCGGCTGTCCATGGCTTGAGGCCTATCATTCAGACCTTCCCTTTGACGGAGAGTGGCGTCGATGAAGCATTCAAGACCTTGGAAAGTGGAAAGATGCGATATAGAGGGGTTCTTGTGGCTTGAATGGAGATGCTCGAGATTGGCTGGCGTTTGGTGGCGGTGGATTTTTCATAATAGTCAGCCCATGATCTCCTCAACGTCCCTCGACTGAATTGATAGAGCGCAATACAATGGAGGGCATTTCTACCCATCTGGACGTCAGATCTTCGTCAGTTGTCTTGGTGTGCTAGGAACGCTCAAGGAACGCGAGACGCCATCTTTGTCGAGGCTGTGCCGAATTTAAGCCGAATCACGTGGTATCATTGTCGAGCATGACCGGCGAGCGGATCCTCTCTACTGGGTGGGAAAAGGAGACGCGTGTCCAATGGCCCTGATAGGACTAGCATACACGGATATTTAGTTTTTCCGGACCCGCCGAATGCAACCCGAGCCCAGCCTCTCGCCTCCCCAAGTTCTGTTTGATCTCCCAAGACCCGGTCGTGCTTCCTCTCAGGAAAAATAAACCTGGCCTGGGCCAGACGTCAATGCGGCAACGATGCTGCTGAAGCCCAAGGAGGAGGTGGGCGACAGCCAGGCGGACGCTGATGTACGAGGTCTACGCAAGATTCGAGCTCAAAGCCCGTGGACATGGCGACCTCTCACTCTCATTACGACCGCCCTCGCCCTCTTGTCGCTCTCTATCATCCTTCGCTCGTCCCTCCGATTGCAAGTCGACCCTCAGGGATGTGTCATGTCGATGATGGCCCCTACCTACATCAAGCTCTCCGGGTTTGACACGGAGCATTCGCGCTTTGCAACTAAATATTCGCTGTACTTATATCGGGAAGAGGGGGTTGACGAATACACAAAGGATAATATTGGATTGCGAGGGGCTCCTGTGCTTTTCATACCGGGCAATGCTGGGAGTTACAAACAAGTTCGATCCCTCTCTTCCGAGTCCTCCCGCTACTTCCACAATGTCTTGCGGCACGATGCCGAAGCCATCAAAACTGGTGTGCGGTCTTTCGACTTCTTCACCATCAATTTCAACGAGGATCTCTCGGCTTTCCACGGCCAGACGCTGCTTGATCAAGCTGAATACGTCAATGAGGCCATCGCCTTCATCCTCTCCCTCTATGTGGACAGCAATCGTCTCCGTCGCGACTCGCAATTGCCCGACCCAAGTTCTGTTATTCTGATTGGGCATTCGATGGGCGGGATTGTCGCACGCACTGTTCTTGTGTCCCCAAAGTACCAGGCAAACTCGGTCAATACCATTATTACCATGTCAACGCCTCATGCACGACCACCAGTTTCCTTCGATGCGGACGTCGTCTCTCTGTATCAACAGGTCAACGAGTACTGGAGAGAAGCTTATTTACAGCGCTGGGCTAGCAATAATCCTTTATGGCATACGACCCTAATATCTATCGCTGGAGGAGGTCGAGACACTACTGTACCTTCCGATTACGCGAATATTGCCTCACTTGTTCCCGAAAGCCATGGTTTCACCGTTTTCAGTTCCACCATCCCTAGTGTCTGGACTTCGATGGACCACTTGGCGATCACTTGGGCAGACCAAATGCGAAAAGTTATCATTAGATCTCTGTACGATGTGGTTGATGTTCGCCGGGCGGCACAAACCAAACCGCGGTCGGAGCGCATGAAAGTTTTCCGGAAGTGGTTTTTGACGGGCCTAGAAGACAATGCCCCGAAGAACATGCGTGATGCGCCACACGAGGTTCTTCTGACACTTGGTGATGGGACAAGATCTGCCGTGGCTAAGGGGGACAATGTTACCCTGCGGCATTTTGGGGAGAAGGATCATGTGTCCGCAGTCCTGCTCCCGATCCCATCCGTGGACAATGCTACTTCAAAACTTTTCTCACTTCTGACGGACCAACAGATGGATGCCCAAGGTGGCTTTGAGAAGATGGAAGTATTGTTCTGCAGTGCCTTTCCACTGGCTGGAGGGCTGACTTTAACACCATTGCCAATTCAATTCGACCTCTCGCCTGGTGATCCTAGCGCAACGCGACTTGCTTGTAAGAGGCCGGCCGGAGATGCCATACAACTGCCTGCCTCGACCAGGCTGTCCCAATTTCCGTTCGAACAACAGCCTCCCTTCACCTTTTTAAGCTACGATCTGAGAGATCTTCAAGACCACCAGTTTGTTGCAATGGTAGACAAATCTACGGAAAGGAACCATGGCTGGGCTCATGCGGAGATTGTCCCTGCCTCTGACTCCGTCGTCGCATCTGAACTGAGTCTGCCAATGCTCCTGCTTCGAGGGTTGAATCTGGAGCTCCCTCCTAGCCGCCCTTTGGTGACAGAAATCCGGGTGCCATCCATTCGGTCGAGCTTACTTGCGTATACTCTCCAGATTCGCCAGCACGGTTGCAGAACCGATACAGAGCTCTTCACACCATTGCTGAGGCAGCACATTGACAGTCCGTACGAGTCCAAGTATTTCGTCAACTTCAAACAGGGAGATGTCAATCTCCATGGTGCGGCTCCGTTTATGCCGCCTACGCTCGATGGCCGCGACTCGAAGGTAGGCGTGGCCTTCCAGATCTGGTCCGATCCGACGTGCAACTCTTCCTTGGAGATCCGCCTGCGGGCGGACCCCGTTGGAAGTCTCGGCAAGCTTGTGATCAGATACCGCACAGTCTTTGCGGTCTTTCCTTTGCTGGTGGTGGCAATGGTCCTGAGGAAGCAATTTCGAGTTTACGACAGCTCGGGAGTCTTCATTTCTTTCTCCGAGAGCCTGGACCAAAGCTTGAGGCTGCCGCTACCTGTGTTGATGCTATCGATGACGTTCTTTGCAACCGCTTTTACCACTGCAAGCTCAGCGAATCTCGTGTCGAGCAGTCATCCTCAAAGCAACGGGACGGCGGTGGACTTTGCCCAGAACGACCTTCTTTTGGGTTCTCAGGACACATTCTTCTGGTTCCTTGTCCCTTTGGCAGGCTTGCTTAGCGTTGGCGCCTGTGTTTTGGTGAACTATGCAATCTTGGGACTATTACACTTCATTGTTATCCTGTCAAATTTCATCTCACAACGCTACATGAAACCCGACGACGGTGACAAGGGCATGGCTTCTGCCTTCGTGGCAAGCACGCCTCGCCGTCGAGTCATCAATACGGCTGTTCTTCTATTCCTCGTTGCGACAATCATTCCTTATCCATTCGCCTACGTTGTGGCCTGCATTGTACAACTTTTTACCTGCGCACGAGCATTGCGGCACGCCAAAGATTCAAGATCCGGGCCGGCGCATAACTTCTTCAACTACACGTATTCGATACTCATTTTAATGCTCTGGGTCTTGCCGATTAATGTTCCGGTCCTGGTTGTCTGGATCCATAATTTGGCGGTGCACTGGCTGACACCGTTCTCATCCCACCACAACGTGTTGTCAATAATGCCCTTCATTCTCTTGGTCGAAACTTTGTCGAGTGGGAAAATGGTTCCCTCTGTCCGGTCGTTCAGATGGGCTACAAACCTATTGTTTTTCGTGTTGGCTGTCTACGCGGCGTTGTACGGCATGACTTACGCGTACCGATTACATTATATTGCGAACATCATTGCGTTGTGGCTAGTCTTGCTTCATTTCTCAACTTACCAGAAACGGATACCCACCTAGAGGCGGATCGCGGCACAGCCTTGGCTATCTTGGTCCACTGGCACAACAGAGATAGAATACTAGATCGGAAATTGGGAAGAGCCAAAGACACAAGCCATTTGGTTGTGGACGGCGCCAATCTTTCGATGATAGAAGCTTGTGAAGATCAAAAAGGAGTCTACATAGAGTGGGCATCGCTCGGTTACTGTTTCCAACAGATCTAATGATACAGTACCAAAGAATTTCTTTTGTGCTTCTGCCGACCTGTTGCTCAGAGGTGAAGAGATGCTAGAGCATTTCTTCGACCTAGACGTGCCGCAAGGCCGTCAACCTTTACGCTTTTCATGTCGCCACAAAGGACTGCCATAGTCGTTTATGCTGCTATGAGTACCAGCATTTTAACTGTAAACATCACGAGGTTCTGCGGCGAACGGGGAGATTGGAGCTATGAAACTTGTTGAATTCGACTTTCTCTTATTACCTGATGAGTGCCATTTCCAGCGGCGCCGACGCTCTTGACAACCACCTGTCTCGAATCGTATTCCACCGGGAAGGTTTGCATCTACACAGATATCAGGGTTTTGAGAGGCAGACCAGGGAAAAACGTCTGATGATTGGACAAAGACAGAAGTGACATTGGGTGATCAAGTGAAGTAGTGGTGAATGCAATGAACAACTCATCCATGGTTTGCTCTGATCGCTTTACTGCCGCGACCTCTTTCAAATCCGTCCTCTGCCCTTTCGCGGTTGCCAAAATTCTGCCTACTTGCCACGACAGACGCGAACTCGGCTGTGTTGAAAGAAACATGCCTACACCGGCGCATCCATTCCTCCCTAGCGACGCCTCGTCGACCGATGCTCCAAAACAGCAAGCGCACAATCACGATGGTGGTCATTCTCCTGCAGCCTGGGTCGGAGTCTCCATATGCGCCATTATGTGTCTCGCGTGGATTCTCAGATACTCATATCTCGCGTCACCTTTTTGGCTTCATCGCATGAGGCGTCGCCTTGGGATCAGACCAGCCTCTCGCACCCCGATCTCTCATCATCCAACTCTGCACAGTATCGGGACCGAGTCTCCACCCCCGTGGATCGCGCGGCCCGAGCCAGCCTATTTTCGAATACCTTCGAAAGACACTTTACCTGTCTATCAGCCGACCAACCAGTTCAGCAGTGATGTGCTCGAGGCGCTGTTGAATTTGGGGCCGGCGGCCGGGGGCGCACGGCCGCCTTCGTACAGATCTAAATTGCCTCAAGAATGGCGAAGTGCGATGGGGACAAGGACCAGGACAAGGGACGACGAGGAGTCTGAGTTCTCATAAGGAGGCAACTGGAGCATGAGAGCGATTGCTAGAGAACGAGGCGAGAAGGGAGCAAGACAGTAGTTCTGCAAGGGCGACGGTAGATCGGGATGGGCTGAAGTGGAAGTGGGGGGCCGCCTCCTGGACCTTTTGGATAGGAAGTGAGATCAAGACTGCGGCAGTCATTATTGAATTGCATGGAGGCTGGACTCAGGCGGAGAGCTATGTAGAGAGCGGCAGACCTGGCCTTTCATGGGGATATACAACAGCAGTGCCCGTGAACGGAGTACCTATCGAATTGACGTTAGACGAGAGCGGCCTTTGGTCGCGGTTCAGTTGCAAGGGACGTTCCGATGGGCGACTGGTTCCCCGGATTTTTACAACCTGACGCTCTAGGAGGTCTTGACTCTCTGGGCGCCAGCGGCGCCAATTTTCTTTTGCCAAAGCTTAAACCATTTACCCCGGGCCACGCTTGCGTAATCCAGAAGCCCCAAGCCTGCCTAAGACACTTGCGGCATGGCGGGATGCTGGTTTGGCCCGGTTTGGCCCTAGGGTTCCGGTAAAGAATTGCTGCTTTGGGGCCTGGGGCGGCCATTGCGGATCAGCCGAGGGACCCGGTTGTCTCTAGGCGATTGGGCGGTTAGGGGGACCCGGGGGCGCTGCTGCACCGGTTACTGGGCGCTGCCCACACTGCCCGGTGCCCACCACTGCCCACAATTGCCCACACCTACCATGCACTGCTTCGGATTTCTTTCTCGCCTTGTTACTGAGTGTGTGCGGGTGGGCTGCTTGCTGCGTGCTCTGGCGGACGCAACCACTACCCTCTTCTCGCCTCGCCATCCGCTTGCCTGCTCGTGTGAGTTGAGTCCTTTTTACTACCTGGTACTCCGTCCTTCCACTCTACCTGTCTCCTCTATGCTATTTTTCATGAATTCAATGCCGGCACATCTATCCGTTCCGAACCATCTGCACGCTACTTAGCATCACTCACCAGCCTCGCAAGATCACCTCATCGGGACTCCCCGCCTTGCGATCCTTCAAACACCTCTCATGGCTCAGTCCTCGCCTCGACCCTCTCTTGATGGCCACAGCCATGCCTCTGCTCCCTTTTTCCACACTCTGACTCAACGCCTGCGCAAGAGCTCTAATGCCAGCTCCTACAGCTCAGACCCCTCTTCTCCGTCCCCGACCGACCCGGTGTCAAGGACAGAGGCCTCCCGAGCTGCGAGGCGGATGGTGCTGTCAATGGTGCGAGACGACTGGGAGTGGCCTCCGCCTCCGTCACCTACATCCGCAGCCAACAACGGCGGCAGATCCCCCATTCCCCACCGCGAGCCTCTTACATACCGCTTACGCGAAGAAGCCCAATCCGACCTGGAAATTGAGGACCTGGCCTCCAAACGCCGCGCAAAGGCCGACCCGTACAAGTTCGAGAGTCCCGAGGCGGTGGGGAATGTGATTGCCGAGCGCAGGAGGAAACGCAGAAAAACGCAGGAAGAAGAAATGTCCTGGAATGAAGGGTTGAAGGTCTGGATTGAAAGGCGCGACGCCTGGACGGGAGCACTGCAGCAGAAACCTAACAGCAACAAACCGACAGAACGACGGCCCTCGCCGACCACCAAAAGGCCTTCGTATAAATCTCGCCTTTCTCAAGTCTTCACCGGACACAAGGGGGACCAGCCCAACTCCACGGACGGGGGTTCAACAAGCTGGCCCGTTTCTCCAGCTTCACCTACGCCAGAGTGCTCCAGCATAGAGAGCATCGAAGCCACTCCGGCCACGCAGACCACCACGAACACGACCGCTGAACCTCTCTCGCCAGCCTCATCCTCTCAACCACCGTCGTCACCGCCATCTTTAGCGTCTACAGAACCAGGCCCCTGGATACCCATCTACCCTCCCATCCTCCCCCAAGACAACATTATCCGAGACCGCATAAGGCCCTCGGCCTACCCAACCATCTACTCGAAAATTGTAGTCCAAGGCCTCACGCCCAACGTGCCCATTCCGCTATGTCACATGATCCCCGCATTGGTCGAAGGGTGGAAGTCCGAAGGGAACTGGCCGCCTCAACCCAGCGCCACTCTCGCGCAGGATGTGAAGAAGGGGAGGAAGAGCAGCACCCTTGCCAAGTGGAGAAAAGAACACTCTGAAGATCAGCACAATGGGCAGGATTCCTCTCACCACCATCACTTCCTCCACCACGGCCATCACGGTGGCGGCGCCGCTGGCGGTGGTGGAGAAGTGACAGCAGCACTTGTAAGCGGTGCCAAGGATCGCCAAAATGTGCACGAGGATGGTGGGAGAGGTCATAGAGTGCGAAGAAGCATAGGCATGATGAGGAGGGTCGGGTCGTTGTTGGGTGGATCCATGAGCAGCGACGGTCTCGATGAGTTGGGGATTGAGTTCCGCGACCAGGACGAGGAGGAAATGGGGAGGAACGTGGCGCTGAACAAAGGTTTGGTTCATAAAACCTAAAGAAAACCAGGGGGAACGGGTGAACGAGGCAAGCGAACGAAAAGAGGATGTTGTTCTTCTTTGGTTGTCGTTAGGTTTTCTGTCTCTCTTTTTCGGGCTCAATGAAATGGGTATGGTATGGTATCTTTGTCTCGGTTGCATGGCATTCGTATGGGGGACAGAAGGGCTACGGTCTGCATTTGACATGATATGATACGATTTGTATCCCACGACAACGGAACCTGATGATACATACCTCTTTATCTATACTATTCACTGGCTCGTACGGCATGAGCATGAGGATCACGCACGATTTATGATTTGTGATGAGAGTTTTGGGGGGGATTGGAATATATGATAGGATGTAGGGCCTAGAACCTGACATTTGACATTTGTGGGTATATCGCATCTAGCAACCATGGGTATGTACCTGCCTCCCTGCCTAATAGTGAACGAGCTGCATGCACAAGGTACGGAGCACTACTCCTTTTACCCAACATACTGCACCAATGCCTACCTGCCTGGTACTTGGGGCTAGATAGAGGCTGTAACGTTCGTCGTTCGTTCGCCTAGTGTGCGCATTGCTGGACGTGTCGGAATTAGAATTGAGATCGGTGCTGACTGACATCAGTCAGGCCTGGAACTAGAATCGCTATCAGGATGAGCGTCGGCATCGGAATCAGCATCAGGCTCGGTATGAGGCTCAGCATCGGTGCAATGTCTCAATTGAAAGTCACAATTTGATGCGAACTGCCTTGGCCAACTCTCCCGCCATCCAACCAGCCATTCGGCCATCTGGGATCAGTTGAACCAAGCTACCTTCACCTCCCCTCCTCCCTCCCAGCCCATGCTGAACGAAACGTCCTTGCACAAAGACACACACTCTGTCAGCTCTGTCAGCTCCGTCAAGCCCGTGAAGAAGACAAGACAAAAATGATCCCCTGGAAGAAGCATACCCCCGACGCCATTCCGCCTGCGCCGCCTCCCGAAAAACACTTTTTGTTTTGTTTTTTGCTTTGGTTCTTGATTGCAGTGTCCTTTTCTTTCCAAATTCCTGAGTTAGAACCTCCTTTTCATCGCACCAGCTCTCCGTCCAGCCCGAGAACACAAGATCCTGCTTTTATTGTTACATTTCATCCTGCTTATCTGCGCATTTCACAGCCCATTGTGTGGCGGTGGTGGTTGCTGCGGCTGCTATTGATGACAAAGACACTGTCTCTCTGTCTCATCAAGAATCACGTTCAGTGGTTCATCCATCCGTACTCCTTTCGTATGTCTGGGCGGTGAATAGGGTATTCCCTCCACTTGACATCGGTCGGATCATTTTCCGTGAAGTGATAGTCCCATGTTAAAGGTGACAAAAGACGTAGAACAATGCCTCATTCCTAAATCGAAATAGATTGAAGAGATGGGTGGTTGGGTAAGCGTGAGTAAAAGCGCTTTTGGCCGAGGGTCTCCTGTTAACAATAATCAAAAAATGGGCCAAACTCGAGCTGCAAGGTAGCTATGGCATCTGCCGAGTCTTTGTGCATGAAAATGTCGGCGACGTCTTCGAACCAGTCGGCGAAAGGAAGTTCCTGCAAGCCATCCAGGAGTTCTTCAGGACTGGCGGGTTCAGTACTCGCACGCTCTATCTCCTCTGCAGGTTCGATTTCTTCGTTCTCGGCGTTTATAGGCGGGGCTTCTTGACTTGTTCCACCCTGATCACTCGGCTCGCACCCCCCAAAGGCTGATTCCTCCTCGTCGCCATCAGCAAATCTGTCCCATCCAGCTCGAATGCTGTCGCCGCTCGTGCATGTAGACGATGTGTAGTTCTCCTCCTTGGCGGCCGGCAGTCGAGGGGTACCACGGTCGTCGCCCTTAGAGGGGGGGTCTGCCTCGGATGCTCCTTCATCCTTCGCGATGGCAGTCTCGTACTCTCCAGAAGGAGACTCGTTGTCCTGACAAGACTTGTCACGCCGTGCAAACAACCGGGCAAAATCCCTCACTTTCCGCTTTTCCTTCTCTGTAAGTGGAGGGTGCCACTGGCGCATGTTGATCACTGGTATATCTGTCCTCTCACGAGGGTCCATGGCCCTCCATTTGTAGTGGAGACAGTTCCTGGCCAGGTCACCGAGATTGTCTTTCTTCCAGGTCTCACTGCCGGTGTCCACTGTCTTCGCTTCTTGGCCAACTTTCATCCAGCGGCAATCGCCGGGCAGACATTTGTGTTGCTCGATTTTGGCGAGGAGTCTGGGATCGATGTGGCCGCACAATCTGACAAGGGACAAATTCGGCGCATTGAACCTGGTGATGCTCTTGGTGGGAAGTGTTTGGGGCCAGATGTCTGCCAGCTTTGAATTCTCCTGTCGAATGGTGTTGATGATAGCCTCGACATCGCGGCCGCCGCCAATTTCGTCGCAGTAGTTATGGTTTAGAGGTATAGCGATAAGCTCCAAGTCCGGTCCCCCGAACATTGAGGCGCAAGGAACTATGGCGTTGGAGGTTTCCAGGGCAGCAGCGGAAAGTCGGCACGAGCCGTGGATTTTGATGTTGATCTCACGCAGGCCTGGCATCTTGTCAAT